ATATAAACTAAGCAAACGTGCAATGCACGTCACTTACACCTAGTATGCACAAAAAGGAGTAACAGACTAATGACATCAAGTAAGAAGAGCGACGTTTTGGGATGTAAAAAGAGTGACCATTATCAAAAAATTTCTTTCACGAAAGAACCAGAAAGGTTATTCATATTTCCCAAACCCAAATCCCAGTAAATGCTATAACCCCAACCAGCAATTATTGGCCATAAGACTAGACAATAGCGCTACTAATAAAAAATAAAGGACAATTAAGAAACTAAATTGAAGAAAAAAGATGGCAACGAAAGAATTGTGAAGCATTGGTTAATTAATTGTTCAATTCACAATATCATTTACCTACAATTAGAGCAACAATTAAGAGTTGAAAAACTTTATTAGGTTCTCAGATCGTAAACTAACTGAGAGGCAATATAATCACTAAAGCTAAGTCCCAAAACATGAGAGATGTTGAGAGAGGAACAGAGGCATACTTTATCAAAGTTAGAGGTCAAACTTTTCTTCTTTGGGAGTGATTAGGGCATGATTTTCTCCTAATTTTCAGCCATTTCTTTTCTGGGAGTTGGAATAATCGAACTTGTGAATTTGTGGTTAGATTTGGGGATTTTAAGGTCAGATTTGCTCTTGAGGTCCTCTAACTTTTATGTCCAAGTGTATTTGGTGCTTTATGTTTGAATTAATACAAAACAGACCTAAAACTAAGTTGAGTGACCATTTCTGAAACCGCCTAAAAATTGAGTGACAATTTCTGCAACTTTTGAAATTCAGTGACCGTTTTGTAATTTTTAAGTAAATTCAGTGACCATTTGTGAAATTAACCCTATCCTAGAGGATGGCCATTTACAATTCATTTACGTTCCATCCGTTTCACACCCAAATTAGATCAATTACTGTTCACGAACGAGTTCTTCACTATTCATTAAGCCCCTATTTGGCCCCCATTATTTTACATTTTTGGGGGTTGAAAATTTTTAGAATATTGATTTATGGGAGAATGTGTGGTTGAATTTTTTTTTATTTGTGTGTAATATTATTTTATTTGATGAATGTGTGGTTGAAATGAAGAGAGAGAAAAATGTAATATAATTTAATGGGGGCCAAACAAGGTCTAAGTTGTGTTAAATAAATATCTTCTTCATATACCTTTTTTCTCCTCTTACCTTTATACCGTCTCTCTAATATGCATCTGCAAAGAGAAAAAAAAGCGACGTAGCAGTAGGCAGCGATTACTTTGGCGACGAGGAGGAAGAAGATGAAGACGAAGACAATGTACAAGAAGGATCCGTCAAGGCGGCCGACAGGATGGAGGAGGAGGAGCGCGAGATCGTAGACCTCAAGACCAAGGTCACTTCCCTAAAACTTTCTTTTTCACTTTTCCTTTCCCTCGAAGAGCTGTCCAAAACTGTTGATTATTGAGTTTCATAAACACATCCCTAAAACTTTCTTGCAAGATCTGTTCCAAGAAGCCAAGACTCGAACCGTCTCTTACTTCTTATATCTGTACACAGCCTGCTTGAACATACAAATATATAATGCCTTCTTCATGCCCAAATACTTGCATAGCAATACTCCAAAACTGTCCCACCAACAAACACAAGTATTTTAAAACGCAAGCATCACACCGGGTATATCACATGCTTACAGCCCAATATGATGAGATTTGATAAGTACGTTTTACATACTTATTTTACTGTCAAAACATGAGCAATTGTTGATTAATATGTTGGAATATAGCTTAATTCTATGCAATTCATATTTTGCAGGACATGTGATGAATGTATCGAAAATAAGGAGAAACAAGTGAAAAATGACCAGAACTGAAGAAA